CCTAATTTTCCCCATTGTGTGGTGTTGTATGGCAGCCTCTTGAGTGGCCGCTTCTCTTTTTAGGAAATTTTTATCATCGCGTATTCAATATATAAGTAAAAATGAAAAAGAAAAAAAATCGCACGGTCACATTTTGAGGTATAGCGACCGGCAGTTGAACTCAGTGTCCGATAGTTTGGAATTGCGATTATCATGATTGTCCAGCAAATTATAGATCAATGAATGTCATTCACCGCTACCAAACTTACAATATATGCGAACAGGTGAGGTGGAAAGGAATGAGTTCAGTTTGAAGGAAAGGACATTGAACGCCCATGATAAATGCTAAATGCACAGTCTGAGTGTGCATACACACTTTTTCGAGCGCCCACGTCTAGCGTATCTCATACACCTCTTAATAAAAATAAAGCGTGTTCAGCAGACCGCAAGTTAGTTTATACATATCATGATTGGATGGGCAGAAGTCAGTGGGCTTTCCCATTCACCTGAACAACCTAGCTGGGCTTTTTACGGTGGTGGTGGTGGTTTAATCGTCAAAGTGGTCGTCAAACCCATAGACCACTTACAGAATCTGACCTTCGGCTGCGGTTGGCTGCAAGTGGGGCTAACCAGCCATGATTTAAACACAGTTAGGGATCACCGATAATAATTGACTCTACCAACTGCATTTCCAATAAGGATACGGTAAGAAAGTCATTCCGTTATAGAGAAGCGGGTCACACGATTTTTTTCGAGTCGTTCCTCGCGCACTAAGCTTGTCGCTGGTGAGAAAACAAATATCAACATTGTTAGGAAGCCGAATTAAACATGCGGCGTTAACCATGTTGAAAAGCGACTCCGGATTAGGGGGGAATTCACGTTTACGAATTTCTAATCACCGTGGGAAGTGATAACCGCAGCACATCTCAAGAAACAGAGAACCACCTACGCGGAACGGATGACGAACGGATGAGATGAATGAATCAGCAGTAATCGCAGCAGGTCTGCGCAAAATTGACGTCAGTTTTGATTTTTCCACTGTAATTTTGACTTGCTTTCTGTGCGTCAAGTGCACGGTTGCTGTCCACCATCTGTGTTCTTGCTTACGTAGCTGGGAGAAGGCTACTAGTGTTCGTGGCGTCCAATCTGTGCTGTAATCGTACTTGTGGGGCTAGACGACTAGTGTGGCCGTTGAGGTACGTATTCCGTAGTGTTCAGACCTACCCCGCGTCTCTGTGTGCGTTCGCGCTTTGTGATATCGTGCACGTCGTCCGTGAGTGTCCAGTCTATTTCGTCGTTCACTGTCGACAGTGGATGTTATTATCATTGTGCTGTGTTGTGTTCCGTCGACTCCACTTCGGGCACATTGTGTCTCACGCCGTTCTGTGTCACTGTGTGTCATTGTGCATTGTCCTTCTGTGTCACCCTTGAGTGTCATCGTGTGTTATCTTGTGTCTCATCGTGTGACATCTTGTTCTGTGTTACATTGTGATTGATCGGCAACGACAAAACACCTCTGCTCACAGAAGAGCACGGATTTTGTTTGAGAACCCTCAACTGAAAACTGTACCGCATCAAATGATATTGCTATATGTGGACTAATTAAACAAAGCTAATAAAAATAAAGGATCCACGCTAGAAATAGAATCTTCCCAAGGGTTGGCGTTCCTCGAGGTTTTTCTCTCGCGCTGTCGAAACAGGCCTCTTCGACGTAGCATTCACCGAAAGTATACTTGGACAGGATAGCATAAAATTATCATAGTTCTGTACCCCAACGATGAAAAAGGCATTGACTCGATGCATGATGAACATGACAAGAAATGTTTGCGTCTCCAGAATGCGGCCAGAAACACATTATCCCGCTGACCTACGTACAATTTACACTTCCAAACCAGTTCTCTCATTGCACATAAAAGACAAGCCACTGGTGGAAATGACCTCATTCTGCAGTTACCAATTGGCGTGTTCCTGTGGCACCACTTGGATTGGTTGTAACACCCGCCGATTCGCCGAACGCATTCGGGAACACTAACCCAATTGGCTCAGTCGCGGATTGATGAGAACTGGGGGGGGAGGGCAATTACGGCTCACTTGGTCGAAACAGAACACCGTGTCGGAATGGGTGAAGCGGTCAGTCCCGTCTACACAAGGTGAGATTGAACAGGTCAAGCATCGCTTGCTGTCAACAGTCGAAGCGATTGTAATTCGATTGAACGACCCATTTTTATGCACTCAAAAACAGTCAATCAGAGCTCAAGATTTACCATAATCAGCTATAAACGCTAGGGTGGCATAAACCCGGTTATCAAATGTATCAAATCGTTTATGTATTTGATTCATTCGACAGAATGATTTGAACTCTCAAGAACCCTTTACTATGTTATCCATACGAAAACAGACATTCTCTACTTGTTTCTGTATCCTCGACTTTTGTGATTTTGTGACCTATAAAACAGTGCTGTATAATCGACTGCTAAATGCTATACCCCAAACCAAGCTTGTTTGCCAAATTGACTTATTGATGAAAAAATTACCTGCAAGGCGAACAAACTCGACCAGAGCGAAATATCGCCAGGTGGGCTGGGCCAGTTCAGATGATGCGGTCAGTGATCGGAACACAGACGGCAAACGAGGAAAGTTGGCTGGTTGACAGACAATGTCCACGATCCGGGGTAGGTCATCGGATGCGGTCACCGAGCAATGCAAGGATAACAGGTGACCGGAATCGGTGATCATGTGAATCCATGACCCATGTACTTGTGTGTGACGAATTGGGGATGGGGCCACGGGGAGAATGAATTGCGTGTATCGCAACAAGCTTTCCGATCAATGCGAAGCATAAAGAGAGAGAGAGAGAGAGAGAGAGAGAGAGAGAGAAGTAAGAATAATTTCTATATCCGCCTGTGTTCGCCTGGCACAAAATCGACAGCAATGTAAGAAAATATAATGGTCAATCAAATCATGGAGTATATAACAATGGAAGGAACAATTAGTAATAACACCATGGACCAACAGGATGAGAGTATGACTAAAAAAGTAAATCACAGAAAACGTAAATCTTAGGAAGTGACTGATT